ACATCAACACCCCCAACTTAGACTATTGCTTGCCCTCAAGCAACTAAAAAGTCAACCTACCAAATACTAATCTACTTCCGACTGATCACAAAGAAGAAATGACTATGGATGGTGCTGACTGTTGGCTAACAAGCATGTAACTTCTTTTATTCACCCCTCTTTGACAACAAAGATCATTTAACAGTTCGAATAATCAGTTTGTAAATTTTGAGCCTCAAGAGCAATGACAGAGTGCTACCCATAGCTAGATATGAACTTGTATCCTACTTCAAGAAGCCTAACTTCTGCTAAATCTTGCAATTCATGCGTGCTCACATCAAGAAAAATCCCCAACTCAACAAATATGTACATGGGATACAATTAAACACTCTTGCACTTAGAAAGAAGGCTAAGTGCTACAAGTATCAGTCCATATACTTGCCCTTATTTTAACTCGTTGCTACCTCATGAATAATTGGTTGTAGATCAAAAAGGACTTTTTAAGGGTTGGAGTGTAGGCTTCGGGACGGGTTGGATGAATATTTGGGAATGTAGTGACTGTACCCTCCTTGAACGCTACACATTGTTTTAGCACTTTGCTTCTTCTAAAACCACATAGCCCTTATTGACCTCTAGTTACCAACATAGACCCACCTCAAAGTATCTCTCTAATTTTCGCAAGACTCCCCACTTTTGTTTTTATATAAACATATACAAATATTTTCTTTTGCTTTTCTTTTGGAGCTTGAGTATCTTCATATAAACAACTTTGAGGTATATGCTTCTATACACAATGTACATCTTCACCATTTTCTAATTGATACCAACACCCCCAACTTAGGATTTTAGCCTCATTCTCAACAATCAAGGAGGGACGGGTTCAAAAAAGGGAATTAATTCACAAAAGGGTAAATGTTTGTAATGTAGTATCCAAATAAAATGTTAAAAGTTCAACAAGGGATAACTAGGACGATAAATGCACCGGGGAGGTCAGTTTGGTCACAACTAGTTAGCAATCACAAAGAGAGCCTATGATCATTTTGACACCCAATTATCAACCTGAGATTTGCATTGAGGAACCAACCGGGCAAGTTCTAGACATTACAAGTTGAGCACATGTATTATTTATACACATTTTCACCACTCACGACGCATTAACTTCTCAAATTGGCATAATTTCATCCCTCAAGTGAATACAAGGCAATTCAATGCTTCATCACATGATATTTGATATTCTAAGTAAGCACAAAGTCAAAGAACGAGCCTCAGATTCACAAGAATGACTAACTGTTTATTTACAAAAATTTGAAGGGTGCAATTTATTCCACAAAAACTTATCACATGCTTGAATCTAGAACAAAAGCACCAAACAAGTCAAAATCTTTTATGCTACGACCATGGTTCTACTATTACACCCTTGGAAAAGAACTCGGCGAAGAAAAACCAAGGGAAATTCATTAATATATACAAATCTATATTATTAAGACTAGGAGTTTATATACAAGTTCCAAAAGTTAACTACCCCAACCTAAGAGCATACATTGTCCCCAATGCATTAAGAAAGTAAAATAAAGTTTAGGGGCTTCCTAGGGCGCACTAGGCTCTTGGAGGTGTTAGAATATCTAAGGCGGCCATGGGGCCGGGAGCTGATACTGTAGAGGCTGTAGGTGGAGCCTCTGACTGGGCAGTGGTGTCCGAGACCAAAGTAGGAAGCTCCGCCAGTTGCGGAGTTAGGTCCTGGACCTAGGAGCTGCTGGCCTCACCAGATGATGGCTGTGTGGTCGTGGTAGTAGGCCTGGCAACCATATCTGCAAGGGAGTTTGTGATAGCTTCCTGCACATCCGCCTGCTCCTCACTCGGTGCATTTGGAGAAATGGTAATATATTTGCCTCTGTTGTCTCTCTGATCATCACCCTCCTCAAGTATCTTATCCTCATCAATTTCCGCATGAGACTCTCCAGATTCCTCATTTGAATGATCATCGGTGTGTGCAATGGAACCCGGAGCTTATGAGATGTCAGTGTCGTGTGCCTCCTCAGCTGATAGAGGGTTTTTGAAGTCCAGATCGAAACATGGTATGTGGGAGGTGCCAGTGCCCTGCTCCCCTTCCACTAGAAGAAGGGTGGTCAAATCAAACTCCAGTGTCTGCATCTATGTAGCTCTAACTTGAGCTCAACTACATCCTTTTTGAGTTGAGGCATCTCCCCAACTTCACCTCGATCAACTTTCTTAAGGCAAGCTTCAAAATGTTTGAGTCGATCCTCATATGATAGATGTTGCTTCTGAAGATCCCTTACTGAGGTTTGGATCGGGGCTAATACTTCCAGGATGAGCGATGGATGTTATTTTGTCAATTTGTCTACTTTATAATTACCATGTTGTGCCAGTAGACCAAGCTTGGAGAGTGCAAGCAGTGAGACCAGTGGTGTCACAGTGGCTGATCTGAGAGTGGATGTGGAGGTAGTTGGTGCGGAAGAGGTGTCTAGAACTGATGACATAGCAGGTGTTGCTGAGGGAAGAGGCCGGAGGGAGAGTGAGTGATTTCTCTGGTGGATCTTCGACCACTTTATCAATGTCTTGGTGCCGTGTGATGTCAATGTTCTGAACAATTCTTTCTATGCGGTCATGTTTGGGGAACGAAGTAACTGTCGCGTCATTACACAAAGCATGGATTAAGCCTGGAAAATGGAGCGAGGTTTCTTTCTGGTTTGCCCTAATCCCAATTTTAGGAAATATAAGCTCTCCCACATCAATCTTGATACCCGACATGATGCAAGCGATAAGTATCTCCTTCTCGGTACTGATGTCGGTCTTATTTCACGTAGGCAGTATACGGGAATAGACAAAACTTAGCCAATACCGGCCCTCTCGGGTAAATTCCTTCTTGTGAATTTTCTGGCATGGTGCAATCCAAGGCGGAGATCCTTTGGCTAATATAGAGGCTACCCAAGCATGCTCAGATTCTTTATTTGCAATCTTTGCCTCATATACTGCCATGCCTGGTTCCCACTCCTCGAAATATACATCATTGATGGATGGGAAATCACAAAGTACTTCAACTCCTCGGACTAAGACAAATTTCAAGTATCGATGGTTTCTATTTTGTTCTGAGTTCCTGGATGCAGCATAAAATTCCCTAATAAGCGTCTCATTGTACTATCCCGAAACTTTAGTGAAGAACTCCCATCCCCTATTTTTGATGTTTTCTAGCACATGGGGATAGTGTTCTTTAAGACCTTTCAAATTAAGCTACTTTTCTTCGAGGATCTTTCTCTTTGCTAGACCATCTCTGTACAGAGTCCAAGAGCCGGGAATCCTAAACCTAAGATCCTCACCACTCTTTTTGCATGCTTCGACCTGGAGGTCAACTGGTGGTAAAAGGCAAGCTGTGCCTCCTCCTCTTCAGACTGGGAGGTAGGCTCGGATGAATTTCTGGATGTGCCAGGATGTTTGCGTTTGGATTGCTATAATTGTGGGCTTATAGCTGCAGTGCCTCTATTTCCTCGAGTGGTGGGTGTTCGCGATGCTAAGGATTTCTTTGGTTCCATTCCTGCCAATTAACGAGGAGTTAGTACAAGATAGGACATGTGTAACATATGGCATAGAAATAAGAGGCACAAAATGTTCTGTGAGCAGTTATGCTATCGCAGAATAACTCTGCGGACCGCAAACCACAACGCAAAAGATAACCATCAGAAGTAAAAGGCATTATGCGGGATCGTAGAAGTGGTCGCAAAACTTGTTTGCGACCGTAGATTAGTCGAATTTTGAACTTTGAATAAGGCTGGATTCTGATTAGGCCTACGACCATTGTGCTGTCTGCAAACCAGTTCTGCGGCCGTGGACTCAACCGCATATTGGAGCAGAGAAAACTCTCAAGCATACAGAATGTGATGACTTTGGGGACCACAAAACAGTTATGCGGACCGCAAAGATCATCGCCTCTACTCAATAATGCACTCATAGGCAACCTTTATTCATACTCAGCACCAAATGCTCAAATTGTGAGAGAGCATTACACACACTCAACATTTGGTCGATTTAATGCTTGGCCTGGCAATATCTAATGCAAATTGTTACAAATTTCCAACCTCCTTACTCTATTCAGACTCCCTAATACTCACCCCTAAATTTTGATTGACTCACCCACAACACGTCTTTCCCCCCAGAGTCGATTCCCATTACAGAAGACAAGAAGTTGGGTAGATAGAAGAGGGTAACATGGATTGGAGGAAAAAAATGACTGAAAGCACACATCAGTCCTTACATTAACCGAGCAAGAGAAATGAGGCGTGTCTTTACATTAACTGAGCAAGAGAAATTTTGTAAATTTTACATACCAGATTGCAAAAGTTTGAGTAAGCTAAGTTGATGTGAATCGTGAGTCAAGCAATCAAGGTGAGCCTCCCATTTTCTGATTTTATTTTTGTTTTTTGTTTTCTCTATGTTTTTCTCTTGGATGTTGTTTTCGTGCCTGGGTGTGTGAAATGGCAGAAGATAGATAGAAAGGGGAGAGAGACAGAACTGGGGTTTAATACCTGATGGTTCTGCGGTCAAATGACCATCGCATAACACATTATCCGGCCACATATGTGTTTTGCGATGGATTAGTACCTGGGTGGTCTACTGCAGATGTGCATTCGATTCTACGGTAGCAGAATGATTCTATGGGCCACAAGAGTTGACTTTTCTCCATATTTTTATGACCTAATTTTATTGGTGTTCTGCTTGTGTCTGCGACCATTATGGGTTCTGCATACAATTTATGTGGCCGCATATGTTGCCGCAGAACAACAGCTGAAACTCAGCTTGTTTTCCTTCATTTTCCCTCTACCTTTGCATCATATTTCGTTTTTATTTTGGGTAACCTGCATTCTAACACACCCGTCAAACTGTTCAACTCTTACAACTAAACCTACTAAAATTAAAATCTAACCAAAGAATTGTTACCAACACTTGGGTTTCCTCCTAAGAAGCGCTTGATTTAACGTCGCGACATGACGATGTTGCCCCCACTTTGGCTAATCAGTGGTGGCAATTGGTACGGGACCATCCTTGAGTGAGAATTGTTCTACTAGTTTCCTTTCTCCAATGGTTCCAAGGTAAGGCTTGACCCTTTGGCCATTTACTTTGAAATTTCGGGTCCCGTCCTCAGATTCTAATTCAACAGCTACATAGGAAGACACATTCACAACTTTGAATGGGCCAGACCATTTGGATTTGAGTTTTCCCGGAAAAAACTTCAATCTTGAGTTGAAGAGTAAGACCATGTCACCGGATTTAAATTCCTGCTTAAAAATCTTCTTGTCACGAATAAACTTCAATTTTTCTTTATACATGGCTGCATTCTTGTAGGCATGAAAATGGAACTCTTCCATCTCGTTGGGTTGTGTCATCCTTAGATTAGCAGCTTTGGCCCAGTCAAGATTTAACATTTTCAATGCCCACATGGCTTTGTGTTGATGTTCCATTGGCAAGTAACAAGTCTTACCAAAAACCAATCAGTAAGGTGAGGTGCCAATGGGTGTCTTAATTGCTGTTTGATAGGCCCGCAATGCATCATCTAGCTTCTTTGACCAGTCAGTTCTGTTTGTATTAACAGTTTTTGCTAGAATATTTTTGATCTCCCGGTTGGAGACTTCAACTTGACCGCTTGACTGAGGATGATAAGGGGTAGTAACCTTATGCTTAACTCCATATTTATCAAGCAACCTGGCAAAGGCTTTGTTGCAATAGTGAGAACCACCATCACTAAGGATGGCCCTTGGGGTTCCAAACCTAGTAAATATGTTCTTCTTCAAGAAGGCGGTTACACTTCTTGCTTCATTGTTCTGCAAGGCAATTGCCTCAACCTATTTGGAGACATAATCTATGGCCACCAAGATATATGTCATGTATTGAGAGCTTACGAAGGGACCCATGAAATCGATCCCCGACATATCAAAGATCTCGACCTCCATCACAAAGTTCATAGGCATCTCATGCCTTGTAGAAATTGACCCTTGTCTTTGACATTGATCACATGCCTTGACCATTTGGTTTAAATCTTGGTAGATCGATGGCCATTAATAGCCACATTCTAGCACTTTTGCCGCAGTATGATTTCCATCGNCTGGAGAGTCATGACATGCTTTGAGAATTTGAATTACCTCATCTTCCGGAACACAACGCCGAATGATGTTTTCGGCACAAATCCGTAACAAAAAGGGTTCCTCCCAATAGTATCGCCTACACTCCCACAAGAACTCTTTCTTTTGATAAGCTTCCAATCCGTCGGGGATAAGGTCACTAACCAAGAAGTTAGTGATGTCGGCATACCAAGGAGTGAAGGTGCTGGATATTGCCAATAAGTGCTCATCTAGGAAGGCATCATTAATTTCAAGATCTTCTTTTGGTCTCCCTGCCTCTTCAAGCCTAGATAAGTGATCCGCAACTTGATTCTCTGTTCATTTTTTATATTTGACTTCAAAGTCAAACTCTTGTAACAAAAGAAACACCTAATCAATCTTGGTTTAGCATCCTTCTTCATGATAAGGTAGCGGAGATCAGCATTATCGGTGTAGACTATCACTTTTTTTAGTTACAATGTAATTCATTTATGCACCATTGAGTGTCTTTCTTGCATACTAGACATGATGAAGAATCTTGCTATGTCATTGACCAAGTACTGCTCCAATAGCTACACCACTGGCGTCACACATGAGTTCAAATGGAAGAGACCAATCAGGTGTGACAATAATAGGTGTCGTGGTGAGCCTTGATTTCAATTCCTCAAAAGCTTTGAGCCACTTCCCATCGAACTCAAACTTAGCATCCTTTACAAGGAGCTTGCACATGGGACTTGCAATGTTTTAGAAGTCTTTGATAAATTGCCTATAAAAAGCTGCATGCCCCAAAAAGCTCTGAACACCCTTTACCGAAGTGGGAGGAGGAAGCTTTAAAATGATCTCGATCTTTTCCCGATCAACCTCTATGCCTCTCTTGGAAATTTTATGGCCAAGAACAATACCCTCGTCCACCGTGAAGTGACATTTTTTCCAATTGAGTACAAGGTATGTTTCCTCACATCTTTTTAGCACTTGCCTAAGGTTGGCAAGGCAATGCTCAAAGGAATCACCAACTACAGAGAAGTCATCCATGAATACCTCTAAGACGTTCTCCACCATGTCCGAGAAGATTAACATCATGCATCGTTGAAACATAGTCGGGGCATTGCATAGCCCAAATGGCATCCGACTAAAGGAAAATGTCCCATACGGACATGTGAATGTCGTCTTCTCTTGGTCCTCTAAGGCAATGTTGATTTGGTTGTAGCTGGAATAACCATCCACGAAGCAATAAAATGACATTCCCGCTAGCCGATCAAGCATTTGATCAATAAAAGGCATATGGAAATGGTCTTTGCAAGTAGCACTATTGAGCTTCTGTTAGTCCGTGCAAACTCTCCACCTGGTCACCGTCCTCATTGGGATGCGTTCAAATTTGTCATTTTGAATCACAGTCATGCCTCCTTTCTTTGGCACACATTGCACCGGACTCATCCGAGGACTATCGGCAATGGGGTAGACAACCCCGGCATCCAACCATTTTATTATTTATTTCTTCACCACCTCTTGAATGGAAGGATTTAACCTTCTTTGATGACCCACGCTACGTTTGCTCTCTTGCTCCAATTGTATCTTATGCTCACAAAATCCGGCTGAAATCCCTCGTATATCCACTATAGTCCAACGAATGGCCTGTCTGTGCTCCCTCAAGGTATTCAATAAGTGTTCAACCTGCACATCATTCAACAAAGAAGAAACAATTACAGGTAGAGTTTCATTAGAGCCAAGAAATGTATACCTTAAGTGCGGCGGAAGTGGCTTGAGCTTCTTTGGTGCATAAGTGTAGGACCCAAGGCCTTCCAATGAATTCACCGATTCCACGTATCCTTCCATGTCCTCGCCATCAAAATTCACCAAAATAGCCGCCAATGCCTCACCAAGGCATTCCTCTTCCATCTTCACTTCGACTGCCTTCTCTACCTCGTCAACAACAGGAATGACTGAGATAATTTCATATGCATGTGGCAATTTCATACCCTTACTCGCTTGAAAGGTAACTTCTTCGTCATTAACTCGGAACTTGATCTCATTTCATTTTGAGTCCATGAGTGCCCTCCCGGTATCAAGGAATAGTCTCCCCAGGATGATAGGGATATCTTTATAAATAGCACAATCAAGAATAACAAAGTCGGCAGGGAGGAGAAACTTCCCCACTTTGACAAGCACATCATCAACTATTCCCACCGGTCACTTTATTGAACGATCAACCATTTTCAATCTCATACTTGTAGGCCTAGGCATACCTAATCCCGCTTGCTTGTAAATAGCAAGGGGCGTTAAGTTGATGCTAGCCCCATTATCACAAATGGCACGTGCAAAATCACGCAATCCAATAGTGCATGGAATGATGAAGGCTCCCAGGTCCTCCTTCTTTTGGATAGCGGTTGTTGCAATGATGGAACTAACCCGGTGAGTCACATTCACCACTTCATTCTTGGTGGTTTTCTTTTTAGTGATCAAGTACTTCAAGTACTTAGCAAAACCCAGCATCTCTTGAAATGCTTCCACAAATGGAATGTTCACCGATAACTGCTTTCTAGCAAAGTCTTTAAGGGAAAGGAGGAGGAGGTCTAGTAATTGGTGCTAGAGTTTTTGGTTCCTCTATTACCTTTTCCTTCACCTCTTCATGGTTCACTTCTTGAGTTCTCACCTTCTTCGGGAGTCTTTTAACTTCAACAACAATTGGCACCTCAACTTTTGCCTCTACTTATTGTTCAAAATCTTCCACTTCGACCACTTGTTCATTCTCTCCTTGAAGTAGTTTCCCACTTCGAGTTGTGATTGCCATATAATGCGAAGTTGGACCACTCCCACTACCTTTTGGGTTTGCAATTGTATCACTTGGGAGCGTGCCTTTTTTGCTTTGGATATTGATCTCTTGAAAGATCCCTCATTTACATCTCCAACTTTTGAATAGATATGGTGTGAGAACCCACAAGCTCGGTCATATTCTTTATTGAAGTGTCAGATCTCTCTTGATTTTGTAATACTCTTTCAAGAATGTTTTCTACTTTGGACTCACTTGAAGAACTTTCCTTCCAATGTGGAGAGTTAGAATATTGCCCCTTTTGTGGAACATATGGGTTTGAACTCCGATTTGAAAAGTTGTTGTTGTTGTTACTCCAATTTCCTTGATTAGAACTGCCTTGGTCGCTTCGCCACTATTGGTTGCTTTGACCATAAGGGTTAGATCTCCATTGGTGCTGTTTTCCTGAACCTTGGTAGGGTTGTCTTTGATATCCTCCTTGAGGATTGTTGACATAATTTGCTTTTTCGTATTCCTCATTTGACATGGGTTGCACATCTTCCACAACATTCACCTTTTTTGTTTGGCTTTCTGTGAACATTTTTGTCAACACATTGACATTGGTGGCAAGCCCGACAATTACTTGATCTCTTTCTCGGTTATCCTTAATCATGTTGGTCAAGGAAGGAGTACCATATTCAATTCCACTCGTGGTGTCTTCCGAGTGCAAAGCTTGGTAATATTTGGCCATCTTGTCAAGGATTTGTGTGATCCTTACAAATGTTTTATCCATAAACGATCCATCCACTACATTTTTGGCTATGGATTGATTCATATGATCCAAGCCCATGTAAAACTTCTCCAACGAAATATTATTCAGAATTGCTGGAAGAAGAAAATTTTATGTAGATTCGGCGACCTCACTATATATAGATTGAATCTATCTCATGCTTCATGGAGATGCTTCCTCGGTAATTGCTTGAAGAAGAAAATTTTATCTCGGAGATCGGACTTCTTGCTTTATGGAAACCATTTTGCTAGGAAAGCTCAGACAAGTTTGGGCCATGTATGGATGGAATTAGGAGGTAGATTTTGGATCTAATGTCTTGCCTCTCCAGTTAGAGAGTACTTGAACACCCTCAACCTTAGGGCGTCATGTTAGACATGATTCTGCTTGTGGATTGCACACACACCCAAAAACATTTGAGATGATGTGTCGGATCATAGTCGATGGAATTTTGGAAGAATCCCTCTAATTATAGCATTAGGATTAGACTGTGTTCCACTTTGAAGGTGGCAGCATCAACTCTTGGAGGGACAATGGCATTTGTATCCTCAATATACTCATCTATATCTGCAAACACATTCTCTTCTTCCATCCTGCCCATGTTTACCTATTGACACCAAGCAAAGTGTGATGGAATAGAAGAAGACGTAAAGTAAAGCACACACTAGTTAGTAATTTCAAAACCATATTCCCCGGCAACGGCGCCAAATTTGATACGCTCAAATTACACCTATATAAATGGTGTAAGGCGGTCGGTGCCAAATATAATAACCCAACTGAGTTGGGGTCGAATCCCACAGGGAATAGGTG